TTCTTTCTTTCTTTCTTTCTTTCTTTCTTTCTTTCTTTCTTTCTTTCTTTCTTTCATACTGGGGATCAGACTGCGGATCTTGCAGTTGCAAGAAAGGCACCAGTACCACTGAGCTAGATCTCCAGCCCTTCAAAATAATTAAATACTTAGGTATTAACCTAGCCAAGGAAGTGAAAGATCTCTACAATAAAAACTATAGTACTCTGAAAAAGGAGATGGGAGAGGATATCAGAAAACATCCCGTTCCTAGATAGGCAGACCTAATATTGTCAAAATGGTCACATTACCAAAACTGATATACAGATTTAATGGAATCCCAATCAAATTACCAACAGGATTCATTGCAGAACTAAAGAACATAATCCCAAAATTCATATGGAACCAGAAGAGACCCAGAATAGCAAAAACAATCATGGGCAACAAAAGCAAAGCAGGAGGCATCACAATCCCAAATTTCAAGCTATAGTACAAAGCTATGGTGATAAAAACAGCATGGTATTGGCACAGAAAGTACTGGCACAGAAACAGACACATGGATCGATGGAACAGACACAGGTTGCAGAAACATCTCCAGATACATTTGACCATTTGGTCTTTGACAACGGGGCCAAAAACATAAGCTGGAGAAATGATAGTCTTTTTAATAATTGGTGCTAGAGGAAATAGCTACCCACCTGCAGAAGATCAGTCTAGACCCATATCTCTCACCCTGCACTAAAATAAAATCAAAATGGATCAGAGGCCTACATATGAAAACAGAAACACTTAAGCTAACAGCAGATAAAATAGATAAAACTCTTGAAAACATAGGCACAGGCAAGGATTTTCTAAACAGATTCCCAGTTGCACAAGAAATAACATCAAGAAGCAGAAACTGGGCCAGGTGTAGTGGCACACTTGAGAAGCTGGAGCAGGAAGATTGCCAGGCTGAGCTACATAGTGGGTTAGAGGTTTGCCTGAACTATACAGTGAGACCCTGTCTCAAAATTTAAAAAAAAAAAAAGAAGAATTAACAAATAGGATCATGTAAAATTAAAAACTTCTGCACACAAAAGGAAACAATCAGGGCCAAGGATGTAGCTCAGGGGCGCTGCGCCTGCCTGGCAATCGCAAGGTCCTGAGTTCAATTTCTGGCACCAGCACTGAAGAAAAAGGGAAACAATCAACAGAATGAAGAGACAATCTACAGAACTAGGAAAATATTTTGCCAGCAATTCCTTGGACAGAGGGTTAATATCTAGACTATATGACAAACTCCAAAAAACTTAGACTACCAAAAATAAAAGACCCAATTAAAAAATGAGCAACTGAAATGGACAGATACTTCTCAGAAGAAGTACCAAGGGGCAATAAGAACATAAGAAAATGTTCAACATCTTTGGCCATTAAAGAAATGCAGCCAGGGGCGGGGATTTAGCTCAGTGGTTCTGCAGCCTGCCTCAAAAACACAAGGTCCCTCGATCCCCAGTACCAAAAAAGGAAAAGAAATGCAGCCAGGGATTCAGATTAATGGCACTGTGCCTGCCTTGCAAGCGCAAGGTCCTGAGTTCGATCCCGAGTAACAAAAAAAAGGAGTTAAAGATATCATATTACAGTGATACATGCACATCTTCATAGCAGCACAACTAGTAATAGCTAGATCCTGGAAACAGCCTATATGCCCAACAAGAGATGAATGGATAAAGAAAATGTAATATAAATAAATATAAATAAATATATATATATATATATATATATAAAACTCAGCTACAAAGAATAAATTTGAGTCTTGTGTAGGAAAATGGATGCACCTTGAGACCATAAAGCTATGTAAAATAAATCAGGCACAAAAAGTTAAACATTGCGTGTTTCTCTTATATGAGAAACCCAAAATATAAATAAAGAGCATAATTTTAGAAATCAATAATAGGAAACAGGGAGGTAGTCCTTTTGCCGATACGAAGGGAATCTAGAGATGGAGGTTGAGTAGAGGGTGAAGAGGGGAAGGGAAAGTAAAAAGGATTAAAATATGATATGGCCAGCTATGATCGTGCACAACTGTCATCCCAGGACTTGGGAGGCTGAGGCAAGAGGATCACTGTGAGCTCGAGGCCAACCTGGGCATGTAGTGAGATGCTGTCTCACCAAAAGGTGTGGTGGGTAGATATGCACATGTACCAGCTCCCCAGTATAAATGTATTTGTTATGTATCAAAAAGATATTCTGGGCCTGGGGGTTTGGCTCAGTGGTTCAGCCGCCTGCCTTGCAAGTGCAGGATCCTGAGTTTGATTCCCAGTACCAAAAAACAAACAAACAAACAAAAGATAAACTGTACTAATTTTTTTAAAATACAGTGAATGTTTTTTAAAAATGTCTTACAGTAAAAGACACATTGCCCCTCAAAATAGCCTTGCTTCAGGGCTGGAGATTTAGCTCCAGTAGCACTGTGCCTATCTTGTAAACACAAGGTCCTGAGTTTAATTCCTGGTACCCCACCCCCAAAATAGCCTTGCTTCAAGCAAACTAATCCCATTGGTCTTGCCACTTTGTGAAGCATTTCTAGAAGTCCTCTTTCATGAGTGTGTTTACACGGTGTGATAAAAAACATGGTGTCATCCAGCAGAAATGCAGGCTCATGAAAACATTACTCTGTATCCTCATTTACCTTATTTACAAGATCTGGCACTGTGCAACTGTTGGGTCTTCCTCAAGTCAAAATAACCATGAAAGGTAAATATTTTGAATCAGTTCAGAACATCAAGGCAATAAAGACAGTGCAACTAAGCACATTCATGAAAGAGGACTTCCAGAACTGCTTCAGAAAGTGGCAAGAGGGCCAGGGATGTAGCTCAGTGGCACCGCGCCTGCCTAGCAAGTGCAAGGTCCTGAATTTGATGCCCAGGACCGGAAAAAAAAAAAAAAAGAAAGAAGCAAGAATGACAGAATAAGTGTTTGAAGTGAGGGGGATATTTTGCAGGGTATTAATGGAAATGTATCTTCTACTGTAATAAAATTTTATTTAAATACACAGTTGTGGCTTGGGTCTAGATCTACCCTCAAAGCCTCACGCAGTCATAGGTGGGGTTTTTTCAGAGAGGGCTGAATCTAAAGTGTGTGATTGACTCATGGTGCAATGCTAGGATTAACAGTGCTAGGATTAAAGATGTGTGATTACTAAATCAGTCCACTGATTAGTTTGGCACTCCCCTAATCCCAGTAGCCTGGATACAATATAAGGGATAGAAAGAGGTTTGTCTTCCCCTTTTGCTTGCTCGCTTTGCTACCATTTGCCCACCATGAATTGTTTCTCTGTGATGTCTGTCTGCCATGTGCCACCCTGGCTTGGAGACAGCGACTGTGAACTGAGACCACTACACACTGTGAGCTAAATAAACCTTCCCCCCTTTAACTTTGGGGGTCGGGTATTTTGTCTCAGCAAAGAAAAAAGTAATTTACACACACTATTTTTGGATCACACTTTGTGCTCTAGACTCTTAATATATTTTATTTTATTTTATCCACCCTGTATTCCTGCAAAATATTGTTATCCCCAGTTTACACATTAGAAAACACACAGAGGCTAGGAGACAGTAGAAGGAGCATTTGAGTTCAGATGTTCCTCACTCCAGTGCACCATCCTCTCCACCACGTGCCTCCTGGGCGTGTATTTGGGCATGAGTGTCTCCATGCACCTGTTCACTGACTTCTGGCTGATACCTGACCCTAGGCTGGGCTCTCCCTAGAGCTGGAATCTCACTGCCTCCCCACCCTTCCCCTGTGCTTCCGTCCCCAGGGCTATGATGGGCAGGACAAGGTCTACATTGCAACCCAGGGCCCCATGCCCAACACTGTGTCGGACTTCTGGGAGATGGTGTGGCAGGAAGATGTGTGTCTCATCGTCATGCTCACGCAACTCCGTGAGGGCAAGGAGGTAGGAGACACAGCCACGATCCTTGGCGTACAGACGAAGGGCTGCGCCGTACGTCACCACGCACTCACGCACTCACGCGCCTAAGATCCCACATACGCACGCGTGCACACAGGAGCTCAGGACCAGAGGCTCCCTGGGACCTGACAGCACCTCTCAGCAAGGCCCCTGAGACCCCAGGAAGGCTGTCCATAGTCCACATCTGGGATGGGCTGAGCATTTGGTCTTTAGCAGTCAAGTTTAGAAAAGCCAGGCCCCAGTTGCTGACCCAGTCACTGGGGTTAGGAGATGGGGGACCCCTCTGCGGCTCCTGCGGGGAGTGAGGGAGCCCTGCCTTCTGACTTCCGCTCCCTCCCTCCTAGAAATGTGTCCACTACTGGCCCACAGAAGAGGAAACTTATGGACCCTTCCAGATCCGCACCCAGGACATGAAGGAGTGCCCCGAATACACCGTGCGGCAGCTCAGCGTCCAGGTACCACTCCCTGGGGCCAGGCCCGGTCTGCTGGAAGCTGAGCCACGTTCCTCATCCCTGGAAATCAGGCCCGACCTTCACTAGGAGCCAAGTTTACTTATCTAAACCTTGAACCCTAAAAGAGGCTCTTGAGCCACTGAGGAAAGAGAATTGTGGGTATTTCCCTCTGGGAACTTCTAGTTAAATAGCACAGAGCTAGAAAAGCAGATAGCGGGCCAGGATTTTAGCTCAGTGGTTTCGCTGCCTGCTGCACAAGCGCAAGGACCTGAGTTCAATCCCCGGTACCAAAAAAAAAAAAAACACCCAACCAGATAGCAACTATCAAAAGGCACCTCCCACCTACGCTGAGAGCTGAGGAGAGGAGAGATCCAGGAGTGTGTGGAAGGAATGAGCGGAGATCACACTCTCAAAGGTGCTCTAAAAATGCTTCCTACTATCCCAGCACTTGGGAAGCTGAGGCAGGAGGATCACCATGAATTTGAGATCAGCCTGGGCTACATAGCGAGACCCTGTCTCCAAAAAAAGTAAAAATGCTTTCTGCTATTGTATAGTGTTTTGCATTTTTTTCTTTTTTTAATAAATATTATTTATGTTCTCCCTTTCCCTCCTCAAGCCCCTCCCTGTATACAAAAGCTTTGTTTACATTTTTTCCTTCTATTTTCACTTTTTTCTTGTTCCTTCCTTCCTTTCTCTCTCCCTCCTCCCTGTTCCCCTTCCCATTTGAACACTTTCTTCCCATTTCCCAACACCCATTATACATTTCAGGCCTTATCTCCACTTTTGGTTTCTCACACCAGAGAAACAATGCGGTATTTAAACATGTGTGTCCGATTTATTTCGCTTAAGAGTATGGTCTAGGACTGGGGATTTAGCTCAGTGGTGCCACGACCTTTCTCAAAAATGGAAGGTCCTGAGTTCAATCCCTGGTACCAAAAAAAAGGAGTATGGTCTCAAGGTCCATCCATTTAGCTAGAAATGTCTCAAGCTCATCCTTCTTTATGGCAGGTTAGTACTCCATTGTATTTTTTAAAACCACATCTTCTTTATCTACTCATCGGTTGATGGGCATTTGGGCTGTTTCCAAGATTTAGGTATTACAAGCTGTGCTGCTATAAATATGAATGTTCATATATCGCTGTGGTAGGATGCTTTTAATTCTTTCGGGATGCTACCAAGAAGGCGACTAGCGAGGTCAAATGGAACCTCTCGTTTTAGTTCTTTGAGGTATCTCCACACTGATTTCCACAGTGGTTGCCCCAGTCTACACTCCTACTAACAGTGGAGAAGGGCTCCTTTTTCCCCTCAGCCCCGCCAGCATTGTCACTGATTGATTTCTTGATAATAGCCATTCTTTCTGGAGTGAGATGGAATCTCAGCATTGTTTTAATTTGTATCTCTCAAATGACCAGTGATATTGAATATTTTATATATATTTTTGCCATTTCTACTTACTCATCTGAGAAGTATCTATTCATTTCAGATGCCCATTTTTGGATTGGGTCTTCAAATTTAGAGGGTCTGATTTGTTTGAGTTCATTATACATTCTACATATTAGTCCTTTGTCTGAGGAACAGCTAGTAAAAATTTTCTCCCACTTAGTGGGTTGTCTCTTCACTCTGTTGGTCATTTCTTTAGCTGTGCAAAAGGTTTTTGGTTTTTGGTGCTAGGGATCAAACTCAGAACCTCACGGTTTCAAGGCAGGTGCAGTGCCACTGAACTAAATCTCCGGCCCACAAAAAGTTTTTAATAAGATGAGATCCCAGTTGTTGATTTTTTGTGACATTTCCTGTGTGATCAGGTTTCTTCATAAAGTCTTTGTCTACACGAATGTCTTCAAGAATTCTACCTATTCTGTCTTCCAGCAGATTTAGTGTTTCTGTTTTAATATTTGGATCTTTGATCCATTTTGATCTTAGTTTAGTGAATGGTGAAAGATACTGGTCTAGTTTCAATCTTCGGCATGTGGAAAGCCAGTTTTTCTGGCACCAATTATTAAAGAGGCTATCTTTCTTCCAGTGATGGTGCTTGGCTCCTTTGTCAAAAATAAGGTGCCTAAGTATGACTGGAGTAGTTTCTGCAAACAGTGTTTTACATTTGTCAAAGCATTTCTCTAGCCATTATTTTCCAAGCATCCTGGGAAAGAAACCAGTATTGCATCACCATCCCCATTTTCTAGGTGAAGAAAATGAGGCTAAAGGACTTGCCCAAAGTCATGTGCTAGTTAGAGGCAGAGACAAAATTTGAACTTGGACCTTTCCCTCTCCCAGGACAATGTTCCTTCCAGCATTTTAGAGTGGGGCATAGTGGAGGACAAGCTTGGCCTGCTGTGACATCCCATGGGATGATCCCAGCCCGCATCCTCCACTGGCATCTGACAGCAGGACAGTGTCCCCACCCTGACCCTGGGTCTCATACTGTTGTCTCTGCTGCAGCTCCGGGAGGAATGCCGCTCGGTAAAGCACATCCTCTTCTCAGCCTGGCCCGACCACCAGACTCCGGAATCGGCTGGGCCCCTACTGCGACTGGTGGCCGAGGTGGACGAAAGCCCGGAGACGGCCACCAACACTGGGCCCATCGTGGTCCACTGCAGGTGTGGGCACCTCTCTCCCCCTCCCTTACTACTGGGCCTCTCTGGAAAGGTCTCTAGCAGGTTCGGTGTCATCTAGCAAGTGCTCTGGCCTTAGGAGCTCCTTTGTGCAGAGCCGGGCACCTGGCTGGATACCCAGGATCCATCCATTCCAGCTGGGAATGACAGCAGATTAAACACAGGACACAGTGCAGTGACAGCGAGATGGGGTAGGCGGGGAATCAAGTGGCCTGACCCAGACCTCAGCCACAGAAGGGTTTCCAAGAGAGGGGACATCAAGCTGCCCTAAGACTTGAAAGCGGATTAGCTAAGTGATGAGGGGCAAGGGGAAGCATTCCAGGCTATGGAACCGCATATGCAAAGGCCCAGAGAAAAAAAAATTCAAACATTGATTCGTTGCAGGGAACAGAGCCAGAGGATGGGCTGGGTCACGTGTGGGGACAGTGATGGGAGTGTCTGACAGGCAGGTGACGTCTCTGCCAAGAGGGACCATATAGGAACAGTTAAAACACCTGAATATGCTCCTCTGTCTATCTTTCATCCTTCCTTCCTTCCTTCCTTCCTTCCTTCCTTCCTTCCTTCCTTCCTGTGTGTGGTATGAGAGACTGAACCCAGTGCTTTTGCACTGAGCTATATTACCAGTCTTTAAAAATAATTTTTTTTTTTTTTTGAGACAGGATCTAGCCCAGGCTGGCCTCAAACTTTTTGATCCTCCTGTCTCAGCCTCCCAAGCTGATGGGATTGCAGGCATGCGCCACCATGCCCAACTTTTTTTCTCTTTCTTTCTTCCTTCCTTCCTTTTTTTTTTTTTTGTGATACTGTTGCTTGAACCCAGAAACCCTGAGATACATCCTCAGCCTTATTTATTTATTTAGACAGAGTGTTGCTAAATTACCCTAGCTGACCTGGAATTCATTATCCCCCCTGGCTCTGCCTCCTAAGTTCTGAGATTACAGGCATGTGCCACCTCACCTGGCATGGATTTGACATTTTAAAAGAATGCTTTGGAGCTGGGGGTGTGGTTGTGCACAGAGCTCAGAGTTCGCTCCCCAGCGCTGTGAGCTGGAGGAGGGGGGATGCGTTGGTTACAGAGCAGATTAGGGTAGAGTTGGGATGGGGTCAAGTGGAGACGAGATTTAAAAGAAAACACGTGGGAGTGGACTTCCCAAATAAAACCGAACACGGTGCTAAGCACAGGTAGGGGGGGCCCTGGACCTGCGTGCTGGGAGTCATCAGTGATTCCTATCAGAGGCTCACGAAAGACTTGCTAAAGCACAGGAGGTCAGAGAGGGCTTTGAAATAAAGAAAGGGCAAGACAGAGAGGACCAGAGAGGAGGAATGGAGGCGGGGAGCAGAGGGACCGAAGCTGGGAGGAAGTCGAGGTTAGATACGGAGGGCTGAAGCGGTCGGCCAGCCCACAAGCTGGGCAGTGTCGTGAAACCGTTGGAGACCGAAGCAGAGAGAGATCATCATCAGCATGTCCACAGGAACCGGAAGGTGACCAGGACTAGGCGTAGAGCAAGGCTGGTTACAAGCAACCTCCTCCAGGGCCTCTAGTCCTCTCCCCCGCAGGCCCGGGGCCGCTGGAATCTGGTCTCCTCCTTCCCCAGAGCCCCGCCCCCAGACCCAGCACCTGCCTCCCTTGTTCCTTGGTCTCTGCGGGCTCCCCACCTTCTCCCTGGCTGTTCCCAGTGCAGGGATTGGCCGGACCGGCTGCTTCATCGCCACACGGATAGGCTGCCAGCAGCTGAAGGCCCGAGCAGAAGTGGACATCCTGGGTATCGTGTGCCAACTGCGGCTAGACAGGTGGGTCCGCGGTAAACAAGGCCCCTACGTTAACAAATGGCTTTGCAGCCTCTGGGCTGCTAGGCGTATCAGCATCCTCAAGAAAGAAGGACTCTTTTTGCTTAGAGAATTTTCTCTTGCTGCATGTGTGTGTGTTACAAGGGATTGAACCCAGGGCCTTTGCAGTGAACTACATTCTCAGCCCTTTTTAATTTTTATTTTGAGACAGGGTCTTGCTAAGATGCCTGGCTGGGCTCCAATTTGTGATCTTCTTACCCTGGCTTCCCAGAGTTCTGAGATTACAGGCTGCACCACCACACCTGGGTTTTATATTTATTTATTTATTTATTTATTTAGTACTGGGGATCAAACTCAGGACCTTGTGCTTACAAGGCAGGCATGGTGCTGCTGAGCTAAATCTCTGGCCCATACCTGGGTTATTTTGCAATTAATACCTAGAAAGAATTTCTATCTGGAATTTTAGATTGGAGGTCTAAAATTAAATATTTCACTCTATGAATTTATCCTGAGTTTTCAATGTCTTTTGTTTTTTGTGGGGTTTTTTGTTGGGGGGTACTGGGGATCAAACTCAGGACCTTGCACTTTCAAGGCAGGTGGTGGCACCACTGAGCTAACTTCCGGCCCATCAATGTTTTTTTTTCTCCTTTTCTTTTCTTTTCTCTCTCTCTCTTTCTCTCTCTCTCTCTCTCTCTCTCTCTCTCTCTTTCTTTCTTTTCTTTTTTTTTTTTCCTAAATGTCCTACTCAGAGGAAAGCTAGAAAGCAATACAGCTGGCTCTAGATATGAGGCAGCCACAGAACATAAACAGATACTCACTGGGTTTGGGGCCAGAGAAACAGGGTTCAAACTGACTTGTCTCTCACAGAGCTGTCACTGTCTCTCTAGCCCCCATTTCTTTCTTTTTTGCAGTCCTGGGGATTGAACTGAGCTACATTCCCAGCAATTGTTTGTTTGTTTGATTATTTTTCATTTGGAGACAAGATCTTGCTAAATTGCCTGGGCTAACTTCTAACTCGTGATCCTCCTGCCTCAGCCTCCCAAGGAGCTGAGATTGGAGGCATGTCCCATGGCGTCCATAGCTGGTTCCCCCTCTTTTCGGTCTGGAGAGAGACTGGTTCCTCCTTTTCCGGAGAGCTGCTGGAAGTCACAGGTTAACATGTGAAAGCATTTTGGAAAACGGGAACTAGTAATATGTACAAGTATGCGATTGTTTTTTCACTTTTGGGATTACAGAAAAGAGGAAAATTGGAGGCTACCCGAGGAATCAGGGCTGGTTTTGCTCAGGGACTGAGTGGATCAGGGCAGACTAAGCATCAGTGCCTGAGTTAGGGAAGAGGGGCTTCCCAGGTTGGAAAGCCTGGGGGCAGCAAGAAGGAACTGGAAGTACCGAGGACGGATACACGGGAAAGAGAAAGTCAGGACTTCCAGAGGCCCACGGGATGTCCCACCCGAGCTGTCCAGCCAGCGCCTGACCCTCCTTCGTTCATGTTTGTTTTTCCTTGTAGAGGGGGGATGATCCAGACCGCGGAGCAGTACCAGTTCCTGCACCACACTTTGGCCCTGTACGCAGCCCAGCTGCCCCAGGAGCCCAGCCCCTGACCTCTGAGCCCTCCACGACCCCGCTGCCAACCACCCTTCAGGCCTGGGGAAGGGGGCTGTGTGATCTGCGGCATCCCAGCCCGCATGGGTGAGGGGAAGAGGTGCTGCACTAGGCCACGCTGACGGTCCCAGCAAAGGGTAGGAGCCAGGTCTTGCCCAGGGCCCACTCCTCCGCTTCCTCTAGCGCCCCCACATGGACAGCACGGGAAGCCTCCCTGCCTGAATTTAAAGATAGGAGCTGGCACTCGGCAGATTGAGAAAGAAGTCCAGCTGCACCAATCTTCTCCAAGATGCTCATTGTGAGCTCCAGTTTCCTCATCCAGGACATGGACACGAGTGCTTTGCTGCCACAAAGGAAGCCGTCCGGAAAGCTCGCAGAAGTTGTCCCAGCCCTGTCCCCTCTTCCGAGGCCGGCAAGAGTGTGACCCCAAGCTCACCTGCCACCCAGGCCCTGCCCAAACTAGGCCAGGGGCAGGAGCTGGGAAAAGTCTGGTCCTGAGCTTGGTCAGATTCTCAACATCTCAGCAACTCTGCCCCATACATCTGTGATTGCCAGATGAATGCCCCTAAAGAGAATCAGGACCCAGACTGGCCCTGTTTTCACACCTGTGTCCTGGGAGGAGACCATGGCGGTGACCAGGCCTGGCAGTAGAAATCTCTAGAAGAGGGAACATGTGGGAAACATTCAGAGGCCGGGAGAGTGGCCCCTGCTTCCCTAACCGCCTACCACTCACCCCAGCCACCCTCTCAGGGGCACCCAGCGTGCTCCACTTTGCTTCCATGACCTGAGAAGATACCTGTGATACCCAGGAAGTGCCAAAGATCGAGGAGAGAAGAGCAGTCGAAGAGTTTGTTCTGCTTTGAGAAAACCCACCCCCACCATAATCCCAGAGGCCTAATTCCCCTTGTCAGTCTTGGCTTCAGCCCAATTCCCAGGGGCCCCAGATCTATCTCAGGGCTGAACTACACCCCACAGGAAGCCACCCGAGCCCTCAGCCTTCTGTGCCTCTGGCGGGGCACGTAAGGCACCATTCTCCCTCGCCCTCACCAGGCGTCTGCCCTAACTGGGCTCTGCTCCCTATGGAACCCTGCTCTCGGAGAGTGGCCAAGCTCCCCCTCCATGACATCTTGTCGGAAGGGTACTCAGTGCTGGTGCTGCCGCTGAGGTAAACTCTGCATGCTTCCGCTTGGCCTTACTGAGGAGCTTCTGTCCTTAGGCCCTGGGATGGGCTCCCCTGCACCTCCACCTGCCTAAGCCTGCGAAGGCACTGTCTGCTCCCCAGCTAGGTGGCAGCTCCCAAGTGCCTGGTCCTGCCTGATCACACCCAGTCTGGAGGGAGGCAGTTGCGTCACCCTGTGGGCGTAGCTCCCTGGACTGTCACCCACTGTCCCCATTCAGAGCTCAGGGGGTACAAGCTCTTGAAAAGTAACCAAGTGGAAAAAATAAAGACTTCCTGGTTCATTCCTTTGCTTCTTCTCCGGCCTCTGAAAATAGCAGATACAGCAGGTATACCTTAGGAGCTAGGGAAGAACTAACAAAGGGCAGAAAACCAGATTCTTCTAGTCCAAGCCTTCCTGAGCCTCCACTTTTTAACGATTTGTAGTCACCTAACTCTCGAGTAGCTTGGCAGATACAGTTGCCATTGATAGTTTGGTCACCTTGGACTAAAGACAATAGATTCCACGTGAGTACAGTGACAATCAAACCCCAGGGAGCACCCAGCGTGTGGGGGGTGTCCCCACGCCTGGGTAAGCAAGGTACAGCCTGCTGGGGCGATCAGCCTCGGGACTGAGCAGGTCTGCAGTTAGTTCCTGTGGGGAGGGGACCAGAGACATCGTGGCAGGCCCCATGCCGCCCACCATCACTTCTCCTGGAGCAAACTTTGGTTTTGTTGTTTTGCTTTTTCATCAAAACAGCGCACATTCGCCTTTGCCACAATCTTCCTCACTGGAAAAGCCCTGCTAGGATTGTCTGTTTCAGTATCGTGGCGACACTCACAACAGCCAGCATCAAGTTCAAACGGCTGTCACTCGGGCCAGAGGGTTCCGAAACAAGTGGATAAATCTTAGTTAACAAATCAAGATGGAGAATTCCAAGACTCTAATGCGACTGTTACTCTTCACAGGGTACATTCTGGAGGGTGGGACTCAGTACCCAGGGATGCTGAGAGGCAAGGGTTCAGCAAACACAAAGCCTCCATTGCCTCCTCCTCCCAGACATCTCATCTTCGGTCCGGAAAGTGCGTGGACCACCCTGCTTCCCCGTGGAAGTGCTCTCGGTGAACCCGGACCTCACCGACCACCACCCTTGGGGGGGCAGTAGGGCGCGGCAGCCCAGTGGGACAAAACACCCTCCCACCCCGCCCGCCGGCGAAGGGGGGGGGGCGCGCAGGACGCTGCCCGGCCCGCCGGAGGGCGGCGGCTACGGCGGCGGCGGGGGAGGAGGAGGGCGCTGAAGCCACACCCATCGGCGAGCGGATCCGGGGGCAGGGAGTCGTCCACCGCCGCGCTCCAGCCTCCGCCCGCACCGAGCCGCGGGACCCGGGCCGCACCGGGGAGGGGCCGCTCCGGGCCGCAGCGCGAGGGCAGCGAGGGACGGCGGGGACCCGGCACCGGGCGGAGCCGGCGGCAGCGACCATGATCGCTTTGTTCAACAAGCTGCTGGACTGGTTCAAGGCCCTGTTCTGGAAGGAGGAGATGGAGCTCACCCTGGTCGGGCTGCAGTACTCCGGCAAGACCACCTTCGTCAACGTGATCGCGGTACGAGGGCGCACCGAGGGCGCCCTGGGAGCCGGGGTCGCCGCCTGGCGTGGCCGGGCACGGCCGGGCGCCGGGCGGGGGAGGAGCCTGCCCGGGCGCTGGGGGCCTAGCACAGCCCGTGGGAGACCCGGGTAGCGCGCTATCCGCTCCCTCGCGTGGGCCGGAGGAGCACTGCCGTGGGACAGGGAGGTAGAGAGGAGACCGGGCTGCGGGACCCGCTGCGGACTGAGACAGGCGCCCCCGCCCGGGGGCATGACGGGGCGAAAGTGTCCGGGCCTGCCAGCCCCGCGCGGGGACGTCACGGGACCGGCTGCCTGGGCGCCGTGGGAGGGGGCCTGAGCCGAGCCCACCCTGAGGGCCGAATCCCTCCTCGCTGGACACGGAATCTCCGGCCCCACGGGTGGTAGGAAGAGGTGTCCCCAGGGACAGAGGAGTCAGTTGAGGCCCTGGGCTGAAGAACAGACTCCTCCCCGGAACCTATCCTGGACCTGCGGGGTCGCTGGGAGTCCAGGGAGGTGGTATCCTAAGGGGAGTTTGGAGTCTGGGCCTGGTCCAGAAGTTGCCAGAGGAGGTACTCCAGACCGGAGAGGGTGCCCTGGACACAGGGAGGGTGGCTCCCAGAGCAATGTGGAGTCGAGACTGAGGCGGGGATTGTAAGTCTTTCTGTGCAGCAGAGTGGTGGAGAAGGAGTTAAAATAGCAAAAAGGGGAAGATGCCCTCCCTGGATGTGTGAGCCCAGGCTGCAGTAATGGCTGCGGCCTGCATTTCTAAGCCAGGCTGGACTGGGCTCATGGGGCCCAGCGAGGCTCGGGACAGGGCCTGAGGTTGACCAGCGCCCCAGCCCCAGTCCCAAAGGTGGGGTTTCCAAGAACTGTGAGTTAGCTAGATACTGATTAGAAATGCTGATGAGATGGGTCCACAAAGGAATGTGGCCCACCATTCTGGGCCCTGCCAGCCTTGCCTGTGTTGTCACCCAGCCTGGCCAGATGGACCTCCCTGGCCATTCTCTGCAGGGAGGAGATGCGACTGCCCTGGGCCTGAGGCGGAAGGACAGAAGGAAGGCCAGAGGGGCTCCGTGGTCACACAGCTGGGCCCTGGCCTCCTCTCCTGTCCTGCTCTGCAGGTGATCTCTTCCTCTTCCTCTCCTGGCCTCTCCTGGCCCCTTATCTGGCATGGCAGGATCTGCAGGCCGATGCTGAAGTTTGGGGCGTGATGCTTTTCTCAGCTAACGTGTGCCCCTGGGCTGCTGTCGGCCTGGCCTTGGCTCTAGGATCAGAGTCCCCATTAGACTTGGCATGGCCTGGCATCACACCTGGACTCCTGCCTCCAGGCTCCGGTGACTTCTAGGCATCTAGACCTGAGAATTGTCTCTGGAAGAAGGCCGAGAGAAGAGACAAACTGCTGCCACTCAGCCTAGGTGTCACCCCTGTCTCCAGGAAAGCTCTCCTTGTAGAGCATTGTGAAAGGTTCCGAAGGTTCCTCGGTGGGTTTGGCCACCTCTAGACCAGCATCCTGTGCAGGGAGGGGAGGCTGTGACACAGGGCGGGAACAGAGCCGGAGGATCCCAGACTCTACTGCCAGGGTCATGAGTTTCTGTGGTGTTCAGGGAAAATTTCTCAAATAAAAAGCCCAAGGGTGTGTTCCCATTTTTGATATTAAATGTATCAGTTCAGCTGGCTCATCCTGAAAAAGCAGGCCAAGTTTCCCTTCTCTCAGCAGGCCTCCCAGGAAACTCCAGCCTTCCCAGATCCTGCAGGGCTGCTGGCCTGGTGTTTCTGCATTTTCCCCTTTGGGTTTTCTGCTCACTCTATGTGATCTGCCTGGAGTTAGGTATTGAGTTTAGTGACTGCCCGGCCACCAGGCTAATGTGAACTGGAAGGAAATTATATGGAGACTTCACAGTGCTTCTCAGACATTAAAACTGATCTTTTGGTTTTGGGAAGAGTTGTGATCCTAGAAAAACAGGCGATGTTTTTGTCCAAGAAAAATATGAGGGTCATTTTCAAATATTTCAAAATGTAAAAGATTGCCTAGTGGAAGAAGGAGCCTTGGGGTACCCAAAGGGATTTAGAAACAAAGAGTGGAAGTTATAGGAAGGTGGATCTTTGGCTTGCTTTGAAGAACTTCCTGATAAGCTGGTGCCACGCCAGCAATCCGGGAGGCTGAGGTAGGAAGACCCCCTCGAGATCAAGGCCAGTTTGAACTACATGTTGAGCTTGTCTCAACCAAAACAAACAAACAAAAAACAAGTTTGAACTCAGCCTGGTGAGCCTATTGACTTAACAAGACCCTTTCTGAAAAAAAAAAAAAATTAAAGCCTGAGGATACAAGCCAGGCGTGGTGGCGCATGCACTCGGGAGGCTGAGGCAGGAGGATCACTGCAAGTTCGAGGCCAGCCTGAGCTACATAGTGAGATCAGGGCCAGCCTGAACTACAAAGGGAGACCCTGACTGAAAAAAAGAAAAAAAAAAAAACCTGAGGATACAGCTTGATTTGAAGGCCCTGAATTCATTCTCCAGGAGAGAATGAGAGAGAGACAGGGGAGAGCCTGCTGATAATTGGAGCTGACCCCAGAGGGAATGGGCTCAAGTCTGAGGCCAGGTGGGCTCAGGATTATCTCCACCCTGAGCGAGGGCTGTAGAGCAGCACGTCAAGCCGAGGCCGATTCCTACTCAGCCCCAACTCCTCCTGAGCCAGAAGTTGGCTATGCAGCCCCCTGGGGGTCCTCCTAGCAGCTCCCTTTGCCCCATCGTCTTATCTGTCAGGCCAGCTTCTCAGGTTTGGGCGCCCATGGCTCTTCTAGTTGCCCAAGAGCACTGATGGTTCCCTTTGCAGTTTCAAACCGTTTGCAGACGCTTCTCGAGCCTTGGTCACAATTCCCAGGAGACCCAGGCCTTCTGCCCAGCAATGCTAAAGTCTTCTCCAAGCTCCCTGTGACGGGCCAGGGAAGAACTGGGCTTCCTTCTTCCGACCAGAACTGGGTAGCCTTCAGCCAACAGCTGCCCTGCTGGGTTAGGATGATTATAAAGCCACAAGGGGAGCCCTCCCCCTGGAGGGGCACCCTCTCCCTCTGATTGGTAACTGCCCTTGGGCCCTTAGGATATCGGAGAAAAGTTAGGGACCCTTGCCCCAGAAAGTGTACACTCAGTCCTTTCGAATCATCAGGTTCTGCCTCTGTCCATTCAACTGAGGGTCAAAAATATTAAGAAAAAGCCAGGTGTGGCGGGGCATACCCGTAATCTCAGCCACTTGGGAGGCTGAGATGGGAGGGTTGCTTCCACCCAGTTTGGGGACAACCTGAGCAACATAGCCTGACCTGTCCAAAAAAAAAAAAAAAAAAATCAGAAAAATATTGCCTGTATTCAACACGTGTATACTTTTTTTTTTTTTTTTTTTAAAGACAGAGACTCGCTATATAATTCAAACTGGCTTTGAACTCACTGTGTAGCCCAGGCTAGCCTCAAACTCCTGGCAATCCTCCTGCCTCAGCCTCCAAATTCTGGGATAACTGGTGTGTGTCACCGTGCCTGGCTTCTTGTCATTATTTAAGTAATACAGTATCACAGCTAGTTATATAGTGTTTAGACTGTATTAGACATGATAAGTCATCAAAAGATGATTTAAAGTCTATGGAAGGATCTGTGCAGGTTATAGGCAAATGCTATACCATTTTATATAAGGGACCTGAGCATTCACAGATTTAGTTATCTGAGGGGGGTCCTGCCCCCCCCCAATGTGGGGATCCCAAAGAATGAGTGGGGAACTCTCCCTGCCTTGGTGTCTGTCTGGGGTCCACCACAGGCCCGGGTGAGCAGGCGATGTGCAGACAGAAGGGCACACGCACGCACTCCCTCGGAACCCGGGGGTCTTCACTTGAACTCAGGGGCTCGGAGAGGAACCAATCATCTCCCGACCCAGGGGATGTGAGCCACATTATTCTACCACTCAGGAGAAGGCGGCTGTGTGAGGAACAGGGCTGGCACTCACTTCCTTCAGACTGCTCCTGGGGGTCAGCAGAAACGCCTGCCTGTGCACATGGAGACGGCCCGGGAGGCATGGCATCTGCCCTTATTTGAAGCCAGTTTAAAAGAATCCAGAGATCCAGGGAGACATGGAATTACCTACAGTCAATTCCCAAGCAACCAGCAAGCATTCACTAATGCTGTTATAGACCCAGCTCCACTGCCCAGGCAGCTCTGTTCTGGTGGGGAGACATATCAGTGAACACCAGCAGTGTGTTTCCTAACAAGTGCATAGAGTGCGAGCCAGGCAAAACCGTGGATGACTCTGAAATTGCTTGGCACGCATTGCTCTTTGGGGGGTGGCCAATGTACTCCCCACCAAAAAATATACTCGACTTGAATATTCACTGCCAGCTTGAAAATGTCCGCTTTCCCTTGAGTATCAGACCATGAGCTGTTTGGGGTTCTTGACCAGGGAAGTAGTTCATTCTTCCCCTACACTTATTAACAGTATAAGGGGGTTCAGTTCCCACAGCACTGCCAGTCAGACCTTAGGAAGAACTGTCTCGGGGTGCCACTGGATGCCTAGGTTGGTGACAGCCATCCTGCCTACACGTAGGGGACACGAAAGAGATGCCGCTGTGATCCCAGCAGCCTTCTGGTCTGTGGCCATCAGCAAGGGCACGTCTGGGGTGCAGTCGACTTTTGCCCATTTCCAATGCTGAGTCTTCTCTCCAGTCAGGACAGTTCAATGAGGACATGATCCCCACCGTGGGCTTCAACATGCGCAAAATCACCAAAGGGAACGTGACCATCAAGGTGAGGGGGCGGAGGCCCAGGGCTGGGGAGCTGGGGGAGAAGAGGGATAGAGGGGTTCTGGCTGCCCACTACTGAGGCCATCTCACCCTCTTCTTGCTCAGCTCTGGGACATTGGGGGACAGCCCCGTTTCCGCAGCATGTGGGAGCGCTACTGCCGAGGAGTGAGCGCCATAGTGTAAGTATGGGCCTTTCGCATGCTACTTCCTTTCTACTGGTGCCCACCGCCCAGGCGAAAGAACCAGGGACTCTAGAAACCAGGTGGGCCATGCAACCTTCCTCTTCATTGTTCCTGGTGCCCCCGACTCAAACTGCCACTGTCTGGAATTTGGGATGGTTCATTCCCTTTTTTAAATGATTCATTCCCTTTTTAAAAATAATTTTAAGTGCACACCTGTAATCTCAGCACTGAGGAGGCTGAGGCAGGAGGATCACTGCAAGTTCAAGGCCAGCCTGGGCTACATGGTGAACTACCTAGTAAGACCCTGTCTCAAAAAACCAAAATAATACTAATAATTTTAAGGACAGGGTATGTAACTCAGTAGTAGACCTAGGTTGATCCTGGCATGGTGGCACATGCCTGTAATGCTAGCACAGGGGAGGCTGAGGCAGAAAGATCGAGAGTTTAAGTGCCACCGAGGTGCCTTTACAACTTAGTGAGACCATCTCAAAATTTAAAAAGAGCTGGAGGGCGAACTCAGTGCAAAGGTCCTGGATTCAATCCCCAGTAGCACAATTACTAGTGATAGTAAAAATTTTATTTGACATATATATGGCCAAACAACAGATTTAGTTTTTCTGATAGAATAAACAACCAATTTTTAAAAACATCTTGCTGTAGCGCAAGGTCCCGAGTTTGATCCCCGGTACCAAAAAAAAAAAAAAAAAAAAGAAGGAAACATTTTAACGGGCCAGGGATTTAGCTCAGTGGTTTCCCCGCCTGCTGCGCAAGCCAAGCGCAAGGACCCGAGTTCGATCCCCGGTACCAAAACAAAACGAAACAAAAAACATCTTGCTGCAAGAAAACGTCCTAGTGTTTGGTTTGCTCTCCCACTCTAGCCCATGAGGGCTTTCCATGAAAACATAAGTGGGTCGTTTTGGGCGGGACTTACAGCTAATCCTCCGGGGCCCAAGCACTGCACTGCACAGTGTCAGCTTCCCAGAGGACACGAGGAGGACAGCCCCAGGCTTCCCCTGCTCGCTTTCAAAAGCTTTCACGGAGCGCGTCCTTGAGCCAGGCCAGGGTGGCCCATGGCCCTGGATGTGACCATGCTGGAACCAGAGGTTTTCTGCCCTGGCAGCGGCTCTTCTCTCCCTGTGCTCAGCCCGAGGTGTCCACATGCTGTCTTCACCCTGCCTTTCCCCAGGTACATGGTGGACGCTGCCGACCAGGAGAAGATCGAGGCCTCCAAGAACGAGCTGCACAACCTGCTGGACAAGCCTCAGCTTCAGGGCATCCCGGTCAGTCAGGAAGTGGAGCGGGAAGGGAAGGCAATGGGCAGGGAAGGCGGGCATTGCGGGGTGGAGAGAAGAGGCAGTGCGTGCAGGCACCTGTGCCCGTGCGTGCGTGCGTGCGTCCGTGCGTCCGTGCGTGCGTCCGTGCGTCCGTGCGTGTGCTGGCTCACCTCTCAGCCTGGGCGCAGTGCCCACCCCGCTAGCCCTCATTCTCCCTCCGCTGCAGGTCTTAGTCCTCGGTAACAAGCGAGATCTCCCGGGAGCCCTGGATGAAAAGGAGCTGATTGAGAAAATGTGAGTTTAGTGACTTCCAGCGCCCCAAAGTTCCCCAACCACTTGGAGGTGGGCCTATTATTGTTCCTAGCATTCGCCACATGGTGGCAGCAGAGCACACTTTTCCAGGCACCTCACCTTCCTCATTGTAACCTCTTGAGCAAGAGAAAAATCCTGCCCTCCTCTGGCCCCGCGGCCCCTAGGGAGTCCCTGCCTCTGCCGACTCTTATCTGGTCTCCCCTAGGAATCTGTCTGCCATCCAGGACCGAGAGATCTGCTGCTACTCCATCTCCTGCAAAGAGAAGGACAACATTGGTGCGTGAGTTGGGGGAGTTGCTGGCCCCCTCCGGAGTGGCAGCAGGGAAGGGAGAGGACAGAAGGTGCTGGGTGCCTTAGCATGAGGTTCTCACGGGTTCCCCCTGCACCAGTTGCCTTTAGACCCCAGCTCCGGGGTCTGGTGCGGCCAGGCCCGTGTTCTAGGCATCACCCCAGCCCTTCCTCAGTGGCAGAGTAAACTGGCCACTCGCCTCTGACAGTTAGGCTTGGACCAGACGGTTCCCAGGCCCCTTGGCCTCGCTGTGCGGAGCTCTGGCTTTCTCCGTACCCAGATTCCCCACCCACCCGTGGCCTCTGGTGCCCGTAGTAGCTGCACTTCGGTGACAGCGGGCTGACTGCCACTCCGTCAGCGGTGTCAAGACCTTACAAACTTCTCTCCTGTCCCGGGCCCAGACATCACCCTACAGTGGCTTATTCAGCACTCGAAGTCACGGAGAAGCTGAGACGGCAGCCCTTCTCCCTCGGACCAGGGACCGTGGTCATCTGCACCCGAAGCCGAGCTCCCCGCCGACCCTTGGCCCCTAAGCGCACCCCTCCTCACTCAGTGTGGGGAGGGCCCTCTGGGGCTCCCGAGTCCCGTTCTGCTGAGGTTTGAACTCCTGTTTTTATTGTAAAATAAATCACCCCCCCCCCGGCCCCCAGCCTCTGCCCTCCTCTGCCCGAGTCCTCGCCCAGCCCCACTTCCCTCCCCTCCAGCAGCCCTGGCTCCCGCCCCTGGCCCTTTCGCTCCCCCCTCTTCCCTTTTCAACACTCTCTGTTATTGTCCTGTGTGTACAGTATATATATGTATATATATTTTAATTTTTTAATTTAAGCAAAGACTAAAATCAACCATTTGATGCTGCAGGGGCCATTCAGGATCTGGGAGGGGGCTGTCTAGCGAGGAGGGAAGAGATGCAGGGTCGGCTTGGGGCAAGTTCACATCTGGAAAGGCAGAGGCTGGCACCTGGGGCAGGTACCGGCCTGAACCCTGCTGGCCGCCTCCCGCCTCCCGCTCTGGCTTGTCTCTGCAGCCACAGGCCGGAGGGAGCCTCTGTAGCCGCCTCCTCTCTGTCCCCAGCCTCGGCAGGGCCACCAGACACATCCTGGCCCAGAGACTGCCAGGCCTAGGGCAGGAAGCCACTGCCCGTGCCGCCCAGCACCCCTCACCTGTTCCAGCCCCAGCTCTGCCCCGCCCAGGGCCCCACTCCATGGCCCACCTCATTTTCTGTTCTCATTTTGCAGAGTTGCACAAGGAGAGAGCTCAGCATGGGGGGGTTGGTTCTTTGGATTTTGTTTTTTGTCCTTTCATTTGTTTAATTTAATGATTTGTAAAGTGATGTTCCTCTTCCTTTTTTACACTTTTCAGCTCATATTTAACCTCTGTTTGGAAAATGATTCTTGTAACTGTACATTTTTTTGCCTCCTAATAACAATAAATTACCAATTTTGTGTTGAGGGGGTACACAGTGCGCGTTATTTTTCTGCAGATAGTGCGGGCTGGCTGGTGGGCACACGGGACACCAGCACACCCGCACCCTGGGCACCAACAGCCCGGGAGCCACGCCCACTGGGGCCACATGCCCAGGCTGCAGACAATGGCCCTCACAGGTCTCCCACTCGTGCCTCGGCTCTGCCCGGCCTCCTCATTCCTTTCTCAGACTCTCCTATGTCCCTGCTTGAGCTGGCTGCTGCCTAGCTTCGAAAAGGAGACCCGGTGAAGGAGCTGCCCAGGGCCCGGGTCCCAGAGGCAGGAGTGCCAGGCTCCTGTGGTGCCTTCCGGTTGTCGGCGATGCCCTGCTTTCCTGGCACCCCCTCTCCCCCTCTTACCTGTGAAGCCGGACCTCCTACCCCAGCAGTTGCTGCTTGGAGCCCATGGGCCCTGCTTGCTCAAATCTGAGGCCGTCTTGACCCAAGTTTACAGGAAGCCCCACATTACCCCACTCCCTCTGGCCTACCCTTCACCCTGGAAAATGCAGCAGGCCCTGAAGGGCGCCTCCTGCGACTTCACCCCTGCCCCTGCTGTGAAGAGGAGGCAATTTGCCCTCAGTGCTGCCTGTGGGCTCCCAGGCCTCCCTGGTCCTGAGCCCTCCCAGCCCCTCACCATCGGTGCCCAGGGCTGCTTCTCCGAGGCACTGTGTGGCCATCAGAGCAGTCAGATACCTGCTAGCAGGGCTTGAGGAAAGACTAGATCAGTGATGGCGAGCCTTTTAGAGCTTTCAGTGATACAAACCACACGTGCCATAGGTTCGCCACACCTGGACTACATGGAACCTGACAGTCAGAACTGCAGGTTCTCGGATGCCTTCCGGTGCCTGAGATGTGTGAAATGTGTCCGTTTGGTCAAGGAGGTTGAAGGTGGGCCCAGGCCCTGGCCCCTTCTTCCCTCGCTTCGAAGGTGGGGGGTGTGCCCTGGCTGGGAACTGGAAGAGGGCCACCACCCTCTTTCATCGGGGTGCTTCAGGGCCCACTGTCCTGAACCCGGTTGAGGTTTGAGTCTGGCATCCTCCTCTCACAGTGGCTGCCTATGGCAGGTGCTTCAGGACCTGCAGAGCCCGTGGGGCAGGGGACAGACCAAGAGTGTGGTATGTGTAAACCATCATGTTCGGGCTCTGGTGCCAAAACTGGGTGCATTGAAGAATACCCTGGCCGGGCTTGCGGACAGTTCCCAAAGGGGAGGAAGAGAAGGTGCCAGGCGCTGAGCCAGGTGCTGACCACAGTGCTTCAAAGGAGGGACTTTCCCCTTCACAGATACGGAAGCTGAGACAGGTTATGCAGCTACATTCAGATCCCAGGGTAAATGAATGAGGAAGCTGATACAGAAGGAGGGGACCCACGCAGAGTGGGGGCCTCAGAAGGTCACCCCAGCTGCCTCAGGCATCAGGGCCCCGGGGCTCAGCTGCTGCTGCCCTGCGGGGTGGCTGTCAGTGCACATCCTCCAAACACCCCAGCTCAAGTCCGCACCCTCCCCCCGAGCCCCGAGCCCGCGACCCCTAAGCAACAAACCCCACATTGTTCCCCAGCTGGCCCGGCTGGAGGGACAGTGGCTCCCTCCCAAGGCCTGCTGGCCTGCTGACTTCATTCTGCAGGCCTTTCACGTTGGCAGGCCCGGGCGGCAGCAGCAGGGCCTTGGAGCTGCCATCTCTGTCCCTTCGTCTGAGCCAGCCAGAGGGAGGGGCCAAGGGTGGCCTTTGAAACAGGCCCCCTTAACAGTATGCTGAAGTGCCCTGCACTGGGCCTTCCGTCCTCAGCCCTGTCCCTGTCTCTGGTTCACCTCAGGTCACCCGCCCCCTGCTGCCTCCCCTAGGAGGCTATTGGTGCATGTAGGATCCAGGTGGCTTGGGGCGGAGGGGATGGTTGGGAGGAGCCGGCCTTTGGCCCTGTCTCCAGCCTGTGCCTCCTACCATCCAAAGTTTCTACAGACAAAGCTGGGGGCTTTGGTCACTGTGGCAACAGGTCTGCCGAGAAATGGGTTGGTGTCATTCCCCAGTGCATGGCAGCACTGTCACCTAGCAACAGCCTCCGTCTGTTGGCAGTGTCACTGGCCTGGGGGTGGGTGCCAGGGAGAGAGAACAAGGCTGTTCAGATCCTTGGTGGGGGGGCTGGGGCAGGCTGAGCCCACGGGCTGTGGGTGGCTGGACACGGAGACTGAGGCCCGGGCCATTCAGAATCTTCGGCCCCTTGCCATCCCTGGGCCCCTGCGACCACTTCCTGAGGCCCTGGGCCAGTGGACTGTCTAGCTAGATGTGGTGGCCATGAGCAGCATGCTGGAGGACCCCGGAGGTGTAGCTGGAGGAGCGTGGACTTCAAGCCCAGGACCAGCAGGAGGAGCTTCGGGGTGTGCTGGGGACATGGGCTAGAGCCCTGCCCTTCCAGGAAGGGCAATGTGGCGGGGGCAGCCAGGGGCCAAGCAGCTGGATCATCTACAGGCAAAACAGCCCATTCTAAGAATCAAACAAGAGCCGCTCTCAGAGTGCCAGGCTGGGAAGCCCCATGGTTCACAGAGGGAAGACCACTGGCTGCCCTCAAATGGGGGCTTTGCTGGGAGAGGGTGACTCAAAGCTGGGGGCTCAGAGGGGACAAGTTGGCAGCCTTTGACTTGCTGGAGACTGCTGGGTTTAGACCAGGATGAGGACTTAGTCCCCCAGCTCCCCAACCCCCATCCTTTCTGTCCCTCAAAAGCCCCCAAGGCAGGACAGGAGCCAAAGGTGGTGAGGAGGAACTCGGCCCCCTGGCACGGCCCAGCCCCAGGAACGGCCCAGCGCCTCCCACACTGCCAGGAAAGGCACAAGAAAGTGCACTGGGGACAGGGGAGTTCTACCTAGTTTATTTAGGTTCAGGAAGGGCCTTCTATAGGAGAGCACTTAACCGGGGGCCTTGGACAAGACAACCTGGGTACCTCCGAGAGAGGTGGAGGGAGGAGAAATCCCCGGAAGAAGGGGCAGATCCAGTCCAAAGAAGAGCGTTCTGAGCCTGCGCACCGGGGAGGCCCCATTCTGGGAAGGGGACCGGGCCGGGGCGAGGCGATGACCTCCAATGAACGGTCAGGATCAAGGTGCAGCGGGAGGCTGGGGCAGGTTCACTGGTGGACTGAGATTCGGGCGGCCCTAAGGACTCAGCAGGGTCGCGGCCTACCTGCTAGAAGGTCCCTCCGAATGACAGGAGAGGCCCTGCTTGGGGAGGGGTCTCCGCAAGCCCAAACCCGCCGAGTCCCTCGCTAGGCGGCAGGATGGGCAGCCAAGCGAGACCTATGGGGAAAGAAACAGCAGGCCCTACTGGGCCCGGGTGGCGGCCCCGTCCCCTCCCGGGGCCTGGCTTCAGCAAGGCGTGCCCAGGGGCAGGAGTGGGGGCGACTCCCCGGGCTTGGGGAAGTAGCTGGAGGAGGGCACCTCGGCCTTGAGCTTCTTGTCCGAGCCGTGGGCCGAGGCCTCGGAAGCCACTCCGCAGTCTTCGCAGCAGCAGCAGCAACAGTCCAGGAAGGCCTGGCCGAGCGGCCGGCACACGCACAGCAGCAGCACCGGCGTGATGGCGCCCTTGAAGAAGGTGGAGAACTGCTTGACGAGGCCCAGCAGGTCCAGCGTCTGGCGCGTGAGCTCGGGGGACAGGTAGGCCACCACCACGTTGCAGACGTTCTCCGGGAGGGTGCAGAGGGCGTAGACGACGGTCAGGCCCACCACCGTGCTGCTGAGCTGGCTCTCGCACTGCGCATGCTTGCCGGCGCGGCACTCCGGCTTCCGGCCCGGCGGGCCCCGCACTCGCCATGTCACCAGCTGGCAGGTGACGGTGAACAGGATCGGCAGGCAGAAGTAGCAGCCAAAGTACCACCACATGCGGGCGTTCTGGTAGGTCATCACCAGGGAGTACAGGGACTCGGGCAGGCTGGCTGACGGCTTCATGACACACGAGTCCACGGTGCCCGCGGCGGGGCCCGGCTCCTGCGCCAGCTGCCACAGCAGAAGCTCCGGCACTGCCAGAGTCATGGAGCCCACCCAGATGACAGCCAGCTTGGCCAGGATCGACTGGCACCGCTCAACGGGCCTCACCTTGGGGAGGGTGCTGGTGGCCACGTGGAAGCGGTCAATGCCCAGGGCACAGAGGCTGAAGGTCGTGACGCCCAGAGAGGAGACCTGCAGGCCAGGGGGTGGAGAGAGAGCAGAAGCGGAGGTCAGAACTTAGGGGACAGAGGGAGAAGCCTTGCCTTTTAGATTAGACAGTGAATTGTGTCCTGAGCACAGAACAGCGAAGGGCTGGGCGTGACGGTGGACATCTGTAATGCCAGCAGCCTGAGAGGCTGAGGTAGGATGATCACCAGTTCAGACCTAGCCTGAGCAACTCCACGGCTTACCTGGGTTGTTTTTTTTTAAATGAAAAAATTTTAGAAAGGTTTAGATGTAGCTCAGTATGAAGGCCCTGAGTTCAATGCCCAGTACTATAGAATAAAGGAAAGAGCTGGGGATTTAGCTCAGTGGTGCTGTGCCTGCCTTGCAAGTGCAGGGTCCTGAGTTTGATCCCTGGTACCAGAAAAAAAAAAAAAGAAAGGAAAGAAGGGAGAGAAAGAAAGAAAGAGAGAGGAGGGAGGGAGGAAGGAAGGAAGGAAGGAAGGAAGGGTATGTAGCTCAGTGGTGGAGTACATATTTAGTATCCATGAGGACTTGGGTTCAATCCCCAGCATTAGAAACAAAATAAAACAAAAAAACAAAAGCCGAGCACTGTGGCACATGCCTGTAATCCCAGCACTCTGGAAGGGTGAAGCAGGAGGTTTACAAATTCGAGCCCAACCTGGGGAATTCAGGGAGACTCTGTCTCAAAAACTAAAAGGGCTAAGGTTGTCGCTCAGTGTGAAGGGCCTGGGTTCAATCCCCAGCACAACAGAAAAAGAAATTAAAAAAACAAAGCAATGGTTACAACTTGCATTTGGTAAACATTTTTTATGTCTCGAGTGATTTCCATAGGTAAGCAAATTCTCATCGATCATTTTGTAGAAGGAACAGGGGCCGGGCAGGGGGGACTCGTGTAGGGTCACAGTGCTGGTAAGTGGCAGACCTGGGGCGCACATGACACCTACTGCCTCCTTCCCTCTCTCTCTCTCTCTCTCTCCCTCTCTCTTGGCCAGGGGGTGCTCAGCCCACCCCCCACAGACCCCATGCTGTCTGAAGGACTCAGGTCATTGCTAAGGAAGAACAGGACAGAGACAGAGTCCTTCCACTGCCTCAACCCCCTTTCGGGTGGTGATCCCAGGAACAGCTCTCTCGCTCTCTCTCTCTCTCTCTCTCTCTCTCTCTCTCTCTCTCTCTCTGTCTCTCCCCCTCTCTCTTTCCCTCTCTCCTGTCTCTCTTGTCCTCCTCACCCTGTCCTGAGAAGCCCAAGGCCCGAGCTGCAGTGCCCCTCACCCCGAGCTGCAGTGCCCCTCACCCCACATGCTATTCATCAAGCTCACAGGAAAGAGGAAGAAGCCAGGCAGCAGGGAAGAAAGAGCCAAAGAGCATAAAGGAGGAGCAGAGCCTGCCGCGCTACCCAGCCGTGTTCCACCACACTTGGGGATTGTGCTCCGACCCGCTTCCGGTCCAAATCCTTCACTCTTCAGGCTGGGGGACACAATCCCGGGCTTTTTCCAATGCTCCAGTGTGCTTTGTGAGAACCTCACCCCCTCTTGGCAAGGGGGCCCAGGCCTGCGGAGGAGCAGCCTGGCTCCTGCTCTCCCTGCTCCCCACGGTCCCCAAGTTTCCTAGGGGCCGTCCTGGGTCCTCCCCACAGAACAGTTCCGGGGCTGGGTCTGGCCCCCACTTCTACCCAGCTCCCAGCCTCTGCCAGCTGGGAAGTCACCTCCGCCCTCCAGGAGGCCTGAGGGGTGGCAGGGGGCTCGGGGCCCAGTGTCACTGACCCGTGGGCATGTGCAATGAAGAACTCGCGTGGCACCTCCTCCCTCTTCCCCTTGAACCAACCCCAGATAAAGCCACCCACCTTGAGTCACTTTATTCTATGCACTTTATGGCCTTTACCCATTAATCCCTCAAGAATTGGGCTGCTTCAATTGATAATTAAAAAAAAAAAAAGAATTGGGCTGCTGGGTAGTGTTGGCACACACCTGTAATCCCAGCAGTCAGGAGGCTAAGCCAGGAGGATCACGAGTTTGAGCCCAACCTGGGCAACTTAACAATTTAGCCAAGATTTTTTTTTCTGTTTGTTTGTTGTTTGTTGGGATTTTGTTTTTGTTTTTGAGACAGGGTCTCACTATGTAGTTCAGGCTGGCCTCAAACTCACAGCAATCCTCCTGACTCACCCTCCCAAATGCTGGGATCATAGACATGTGCTACCACACCCATCTTATAGATTTTATTTTTAATAGAAATTAAAAAAAAAAAAGACTGGGGTTCAAACACTGAATTCAATCCCCAGTGCTGCAAAAGGGAGGAGAGAGACAGAGAGACAGGGACTGTTAACCCAGGGGTAGAGCATAATTTAGCATCCATGAGGCCCTGAGCTCAATCCCCAGCACCAGAAACAAAAACTAAAGCTAGGCATGGTGGCCATGCGTGTAATCCAGCACTCTGGGAGGCTGAGGCAGGAAGATTTCAAATTAGAACCTAGCCTGGGGAATTTAGCAACTTGGTGAGACCCTGTCTCAAAATTTGAAAAGGACTGGGGACGTAGCTCAGTGTGCAGCCCCTAGGTTCAACCCCCAGTACTGTGGGGGAAAAAAGAATTCGTTCAGTTATTATTATCCCCAATTTACAGGTGGGGAAACTGAGGTTTAGGCAGGGTCAATAACCAAGATCATTCAGCTAGGGATAAGAGAAGCCCAATTCTGAGTCCTGTGTCTGAGCCTTCCCAGCTGACCCAGGCTGTGTGCGTGGAGGCACAGCCAGCTGCAAAGACTCCCCGACTTTAGGTCCTCTTCCTGTGGGTCCCCTTCCTGTCGGAGGACTCGGTCTGCCCAGGGGGAGTGGGGCAGGGCATTCCCTGCCGAGCCTCAGAAACCCTGCCCACCGTGAAATCATCACCGACACAGCGAACAGGGTCAGAGCGGGCCACAGGACCTGCACAGATCCTGGCCCGGAGTCCTTCCCCAGCCGGGCCGGTCACCCAGGCCACACAGTGTCACCCACGGAGGAGGGACGGCCTCGAAGGGGCGCCACAATCACTGCAGTCTTCACCGTGACTCCACCCAGCCCAGATTTAAAAGGTGACTTGCGTGTTTTGTGTTTTCATGTAGAGACAAGGACATCCCGGTGTCACACACATGCACACATACTGGGACAGTTTCACAGTGATTTCGGTTTTCTGTGTTCCCACAGCCTTCAGTACCATGTGCTGGTCTTCTCAGGGACCTTTCCAGAAGTAAGGGCATAACGGTACCCTTTAGAAAAAACCTTTTCAGTACTGGGCATTGAACACAGGGCTTTCACACTGAGCTATATCCCTAGTCCTTTTTTATTTTGAGACAGATCTTGCTAAGTCACTAAACTGCCCAGGCTGGGCTTGAAATTTTGATTCTCCTGCCTCAGCTTCCCAGAGTGCTGGGATTACAGGTGTGAGCCACCATGCCAAGCTCACTTTAGCATTTTAGAACAGACTCACTAGGGGCCAGGGATTTAGGTCAGTGGCACCTTGCCTGGCTTCCAAGCACAAGGTCATGAATTCAGTTCCTGGCAGAGGGGGACAGATGCACTAGAGGGAACATCTGGTCTACCCCGGCCTGGGGGATGAGGGAATGAGAGAGGAGATATGCCTGCCTGCCTGCCTGCCAGCATGTCTGTGACAGAGTGGAGACCGGAGCCTCTGGCAGCTGCAGGGCCCAGATGCAAGTCCTGCCTTTCAGGGAGGACTCGGGTTATTGGTGGAGACAGCAGTGATGACAATGGTGGTCACGGGCAGGAAGGGAAGATGGGTCTGTCCCCAGGTGCTTGCCCTCGGATCAGGCACACCAGCCTGACCCAGGTGTGTGTGAGGCCTGAGCTCTCTGCTGACATGCCTGGGGCGGGCTGCTGTGGGTGCAGGGCAGTGGCCACGGGGAAAAAGGAGACAGCAAAGGACAGAGGGGCTTCTTGGGTGGAACAATGGGGGGGAGTAGAGCCAGGGGAGGGGCAGCCTGGATCTAAAGAAAGGGGCAGGAAGCTGCGGAGGCAGCCCTACCGCCGAGCTCGGGAAGGGCCCACACTCACCTCCATGAAGGGCACGGCCCGGCAGGAAATGTCACCCAGGAGCCGCTGCTTGGTGATCTCATTGAAGATGACAATAGGGAGGCAGAAGAACAGGACCAGGAAGTCCCAGAGGGCCAGGCTGGCAAGGATGGCGTTCCAGGCGCTCTTCAGGTAGTAGCTGTGCCACACGATGCACATGACTGACAGGTTGCCCACAATGCCCACGGCGAACACCACCAGGGCCAGCAGCATGATGGCATAGGCGCTGTAGGAGCTCTCGGTCCCCGGGTACAGGGGGTTCTGGATCTGCAGCCTCTGGCTCGGCGTCCCCGTCAGATTGCCCCTCGGCTCCTGCCCACTGCCGGGGGTGTCCCCATCCTCGTCAGGGTGGGGACTGCTGGCCACCAAGGGCTCCGTGGGCTGTAGGCCGGCAGGGCGGATGGGCCGGGGATACTCAGCCCACTCCTCGGGCACATAGTGCTGCACCTCCTTGGCCGCCTTGGCCTCAGTGCCTCTCCTGGCCCGGCTCTGCTGGTCCTGGGGCTCAGCTCTGTGCCCACCCGGGGCACCCCCAGAGACCCCGCCCAGCCCCACAGCCCACAGGGCAGCGAGAGCGAGTGCCAGGGGCCACAGCCGCCGCATGGCCCGACACACAGGATGCGGCTGCCCAGGGAGAGCAGGTGAGGGCAGGGGACCCAAGTGCTGGGCAAAGTGAAGAGGCAGCGGCTGGCTGGGTCCGCCTCCCATCAGGCGTCTGGCATGGCCAGCCCTCCCTCCCGCCTGCAGGCCTGGGCTGGCCAGGGCCCTCTGCTGGACACAGAGCAGCCCTCGCCCTCTGCAGCCCATCCTCTAGGATGTTCAGACTGTGGTGCCCTGAGAGGGCACTGCTCCAGGCCACGGGGGCCAGCGTGGGCCACGACTTGCCCAGCAAGGCAGCAGGGGCAGAATCAGAACTGGACGTGGCTCTCCTGATTCTACCTGATTTTAAGGCAGCTCCTCCATGCAAAACCAAGCAGTCACTGTAACTGTTGAACACTCAGCAGGTCCCAGCACTCAGGTGGTTTCTCAGTGACCCTCACTATGTTCCAAGGCATAAATGCACTGGGGATGTAGCTCAGTGGTGCTGCACCTGCCTGGCAAGGACAAGGTCCTGAGTTCAATCCCTGGTACAAAAAAAACAAAAACAGGACCAGAGATTTAGCTCAGTGGTTCTGGCGCCTGCCTCACGAGCTCAAGGTCCAGACTTCGATCCCTGGTACCAAAAAAACCCAAAAAAACTCCAAAAAATAACAAGAAAAAAAATCTGAAAAATGGATTATAGTAGCATTTATGCATTGGTGTTTTTTGTTTTGTTTTGTTTTTTGTGCTGGGGATCGAACTCAGGACCTTTCACTTGCAAGGCAGGTGCGGCACTATTGAGCTAAATCCCCAGCCCTTCAGATTTGACATATGAAGTTTGTAGAGACCAGTCACTTGCCATCTACTTCACTGGTAGAGCACTTGCCTAAGCATGCTCAAGGCCCTGGTTCAACCCCTAGCACCACAAAAAAAATAAAAATAAAAAAATCACCCCATTGTGAGCTAGACCCAAGAAGGACAGACATCGCAATAGCACATACTTACTGAGTAGTTGCTGTGCTTTATCTGCTGTTGTTATTGTTTTGAGAAGACAGCTTGTCTTCATTGTCCATCCCCTAGAGCTGCATGGCCCTGTCCTCTGTAAAACACGAGGAGTACACGTTTCTGTTAACACCCGCTACTCTTTTGCACGTCAGATTCATGAGTGAAGCGACTCAATATGTATATTTACAAGAGTTTGGGTCGGAGATTTAGCTCAGTGGTGCCACTGCCTGCCTCACAAGCACAAGGTCCTGAGTTTGATCCCTGGTACCAAAAAAAAAAGAGTTTGAGGGGACTACCACTTGGCTATGAGCATAAGGCACGTGTAACTATAATACATAAGATAAAAACCTCTAAATACAAAATATGTACATCTATCGGTAAAAATACCTATCAAAACACTTTAAGAGGAATACAAGTATGCACAATATCTCACTTCAAATATACATAGTAATATTTCTCTGGGCAAATTTTACAATAAACCAATACAGTTTATACAATATAGAAAGGAATCTTTGACATGCCTATGGATCGACTGGCATATTTTAAATAATTCCCTGACACTCTACAGGGCGTCTCCAATTGCTATCAAGACTATGGGGAACCAAGTCTATAAAAATAGCAGATGTTCAACTTCTAATTCACAGGAAACTTGGTGCCAGAGGAAGACTCGTCCCCCATGGTTCCACCATGGGTTCTCTGGCTCTGGGGAGTGCACTGAGGTGACTCTGCTTCATTGCTCCCCGGCCACTTCTTCTCGAGGCTGACGTCCTCAGGGCTCCAGGGTCCCGGGGTAAGGGTGCGATCTCAGCCCCACACCCAGAGCACAGGGCTGGTTGTAAGCTTGGATCTCCTCACACTCCTCTCGGTCACCCTGAGCTTCCAGTCCATGCAGCAGATGAACTGGGAGCGCAGCTTCTGGAACTGGGGGATCTTGTGGAAACTCATCTCATAGGGGAAGAACGTGTGTAGTTTAGGCTCCTCGTTGTCCTGCGCCATGTTGTTGGCCTGGTAGAGCACCAGGAAGAAGTGGATCCTCTGGAACTGCCAGGGGAAGAGGCTGGCCTGGCTGAAGTGGGCGATGACCATGGCCAAGAAGTTCTTGTCAGAGGCCTTCAGGTTTATGTCCCAGGCCAGGAATCCCTGGATGACAGGGTCCTCGAGTAGCCTGGTGAAGGCCTCGTGGTGCTCAGGCAGCACTGAGGACAGGTGCTTCCTCTTCTTCCTCTTGAGGCCAGAAGGCTTCTCCACAACACTTGTGTGTGTTAAAGGCACCAGGCCTAGCCGTGGTGATGGTACCTGCTGCTTCTTCCCCAACAGGCACAGATACTCCCCCCACCTCTTGCGGGAGCCTGATGTCTTCCCTGGGGGCTGAGTCCAAGCACAGGGACTTCGCCCCTGCTCATCCTCCTTAGCCTTGAGTGACCACTCCCTCTTCCACTCCTGGCCACAGGACTGAGGTGAGAGGCTGGGATTGCCCCTCAGGGCTGAGTCAGAACCCCCTGGGGACGCTCCTCCTATTTCCTCTCTGATTCTGAATCTTCAAGTGAGGCATCCTTCCGCTTCTGGACAGGCAGCCGAAGCCAGCAAGAAGGGTGCTAGCCTAAGCCTTCTATGAAGAGACTCAGCAGGCCCTCCTGCAGCTCCTCCTCAGACTCTGAAGACCAATCTCTCTTCCTCTTCTGAACCCATAGTTGAGGCAGCAGGCGGGGTGCGACCCAGACACCTTGGAGCCCAGGCGACTTCTTAAGTGGGCCAGGCATGGTGGTGCATGTCTGCAATCCCAGTACTTAGGAGGCTGAAGCAGGAGGATGTAAGGCTGAAGAGTCTCCACTGGAAGCCAGGAGACAATGTCAAAGGCGATGGGGAAGACTGGAGTGCTTCAGAAGGAACAGAAGTGAGCCTGACTTCTTCTTTCCCTTTTATACCACTCTGGGTCCAATCCTCCCTAGGATGGAGCACTATAGTTCTCTCTGTGGCTGTGGGGAATTACTGAAGACAGAAGACTCACCCTGGGACCAGGTGTGGTGGTGCACTCCTGTAATCCCAGCACTGGCATCATTTGCATTTTTGTACACCAAGTGTCTAAAGCACAGCAAGGAGAGTGACGGGGCGTACCTGTGATTCTAGCCCTTGGGGGGCTGAGGCAGGAGGATTGCCTCAAGTTCAAGGCCAGCCAGCCTGAGCTATGTAAAGACCAAATCTCTAAAAAAGAAAAGAAAAGAAAAGAAAGGAAAGGCAAAGAAAAAGCAGGAAGAATAGGAGACCCAGCCTAGATGCGAGTGATAGCAACCAGTCAGCTCGCTGCCTGAATGGAAAAGAAGAGAAATGAAAAGGAAGGCTGCTTCTGTCTCTTCAGAGGAGCTCCAGTCTTCACCTTCACTGGGGGTGTCATCTCCTGGCTTCCCTCACAGACCCTCAGTCTCTGGTCCGGACCCACAGGGCATGCTGCAGTGAGCTCCAGGGCCCGCCCCCATCCTTCGTATCTCCAGGGCACAGGCGACCCTGTTGCACTTTCCACACCTAACAGTGTGGGCAGCTAATTTAAGCCAACCCTGTTTTTCGCTTTGGAGACAGGGTCTCAGTATGTCGTCCAGGCTGGCCTCGAACTCATGGTGATCCTCCTCTTTGTTATTGTTTATTGAGATACGATCTCGTTATATAGCTCAGGCTGGCCTTGAACTTGTGGCAGTCCTCCTGCCTCAGCCCCCCAAGGGCTCGAATCATGGGCATCCCCCACCACACTCCCTGCTGTGCTTTAGACTCTTGGTGTACAAATGCAAACGATGCCAGGCTTGGTACAGCGCACCTGTATGTAGTCCCAGCACTCAGGGAGGCTGAGGCAGGAGGATGGTAAGTTTAAGCCCAACCTGAGCAACTTAGCCAGACCACATCTCTGCCTCAAAATTAAAAACAATAACAACAAAATAAATAAAGGACTGGAGACATAGCTCAGTGCCAAGGCCCGGGGATCTAGAAAACATCCAGCAAGGCGATGTTTGAATGGCTGTGAGGTGGCCTGACAGACTCAGGAAGGACGATTGCTCCAGGTAGAAGATGCTGCAGGCTCAAGACCTGGTGACACCAGTAGGTGATTTTCCTGCAGAGCAGCAAGTGTGTTGTTTGGAGGAGGCTGGCGGGCAGGAGAACTTAGGGAGAGGGCTTTGGTGTTCAGAGCAAGAGGTCAGCTCTGGAGGGACCCAGAAGGGCTTTGTATACCAGGTTCGGTGTGCGACTGGGGCCCTGGAAGCCAGAGCAGGCGGGTACAAAGGGAAAACCACAGGCTCCGAGGAGAAGCAGCAGCGTGACGGGTAGGGGAGAGGCCAGAGGGAGGCCCCCAACTGCACAGGACAGGTGAGGAGGCCCGGAGAGTGGGGAGGGCTTTGCATGTGTGGAGCTCCGAGGGCCTGGCTGAGAGGCAGGAGGAAGCAGCTGCAGTGCAGGAGAAAGCCGGCAGCAGACAGAGGTGGGGCTTCAGCAGCACACGTGCAGCCCAGGCTGCCAGGGAGTACGGGGTGGTGCGTTCGAGAATGGGCAGGAGGCAGAGGAGCCCCACACTCCCGGAAGCTCAGGAGGAATATGGGATAAAAGGAGCCCTGGGAGGGTGGCTGTGCCCATGTTCCTCGCTCCCCACGGACACCCCCCTGCCTCACCAGGCCTGGGAGTCATTCACACCGGCAGTGTAAACACCAAGGAAGCTCTCCTGACCAGCAAACCTGACCTCCTACCCACAGGGGCCCTGACCTGCTGTGTATAAATCAGTCACATGCTGGGAGTGGTGGCGCACACCTGTAATCCCAGCCCTCCTGGAGGCTGAGGCCCGAGGGTGAGTTCAAGGCCAGCCTGGACTCCACAGTGAGGCCTTGTGTGGCGGGGGCAGGGTTGCACAGACGTGAGTGTCACTGTGGAGTCAGCAGGTCAGGCAGGTCGCCTACCCCTCACTGTCACAGCTGTCCCCTCTGTCATCCTCACCAGGTACCCACAGTGGAGGAGAGAAGCAGGTTCTCCCTGCAAACCCTCATCCTCGGGAAGGTTGGGGAAAGACCCTGTTCTGAGCACCTTCAGACCGGCTCCAGCAAGACCTCGGCCTCTCCTCTCCTCCCCAGCCCATGGCATTGGAGCTGCCGCGTGGTGCGGACATTCGGTGAACAGATCACCATTGGCTGCATCGTCTGTCCTGCTCCCTGGGCTCTCACCAAGGGCCAGCCGCTGACATAAGCTCTCCAGATCATTCTCACCTCCTCTTGAGGTCACCACCCTGATCCTTGCTGGAGGACACACAGCGAGGGAGTGACAGCTGGCGTCAAGGTGCAGGCT